TATAACAACCACACAGCTAATTGGCATTTGATTCTTTTTAGACTAATCAACAAAAGCAGCAAAACCCATTAATATAAACAAGAAAATTCCCCATTTAAGATTCTAAAAATTACAATTAATCGAACAATCGTGCTAATGGTACACACTCCCACTCATAAACCTAACCCATCATCCCCTAGATTCAAACTCGAGTGATGAGAATTGGAAGCTTTCCAGTTATTAAGTCAATTATATTCATCAAGAAAACCCATTTATGAGAACCCAAAAAAATCAAACTTGAGAACCGATAAGTTTTCATTGCTATGACACATACTGAAACTAAGCAACGGGTTTGTGTTAAAAACAGATGCAAAAGAAAGAGGGAAGAAAAGTGGAGAATGCGTTTAGCTTACAGTTGCGGTAGAAACTGACGTGAACCATGGCGGCGGCGGCGGTTCTTCGGAGGCGAGAAAGATAAAAAGACGAAAACCGGGAGAAATGAAGGTGGCTGGAGGAGTGAATATTATACGAACAGTTCATCAAAAGTTTCCTCTAATTTTAGAAATTGCCTTTTACTGTCCCCGTCCCCGTCCTCATATCCATCCCCGTATCCGTATCAGTGCAACATAGTCTGCAAGTACATAATCTGCAAGTACATTTAGCTGGTTTACATCTAAACTGACCTTGCTAAATTCTCCTGAAAGGCTTCACTACTGTAATTGCTCCTTGTTCACGGATTCATCCGAGTTCCGTTCGATCTCGATGTCGACGAGGAATGCCTCTCGTTGCCGATCTTCAGGGTTGCTTAAAGTAGCTTCACTTTCATTGTAACCATGAAGGAGATAACCAAGTAGACTCTCATCTTGATCTGCAGGAAATGACTTAGGAAATTGGCTTTCATTAGGCTCAATTCCCTCATTCGGAATGTCGCCATTCGAAACATTCCTCGGGTTCATGACGTTTTCTAATGCCAAAAGTGCAAGGCCACAGAAATCTGCAATCTTTGTTCCTGCTTCTTGCTTGCCTGCGAATCCGGTTGAAAATTTAGTACCTTTCTTTTGTTCCTTGAAGCACAAGAAAAGATTATTTAAGATCGTTAGTTCGCGTAACCTTTACGGAACAGCTCGAATCCTTTAATCAGATGATGTTGGCTAACTGAAGGTTGGGAAAGTAGAGATGCCAGAAGAGCATGCAATGCTGCAAGCAAGATATCCGGTCCATCGGTTGACATTACTTCACTCTCTTCATCATTTCTCCATTTTCCATCGTAAACGTTTTCCACAACATTCATCAGCAGATCATCGACACTCGGTCGTAAATTTGACCTTAACACGCCACCCTGCAATGTAATCGGTAATCACACTTTTGCTTGATTCATTCAAAATACCAAAGCTAGACCATACCATAGTGAGGAGAGTTTGTAATGCCTTCAATGCAGCGATCTTCAATGATAAAGGAGAGGTTGAGGATTTGTTTTGCAGATCCGAATAGTCCATATCTCGATTCTCCTGCAAGGGATCGATTGCAGCATGCTTCCTTTTCCTGTCAGCGGGCTGCATCGGTGTTTCAACCGTCGCAGATTTTTGCCTATTTAGATACCAAGAGGCATCTAAATCGAATAATGCACTAATGGTGAGTTCTTCTGCAATTTGCAAGGCTGCTCCTGCATAGGATCAAACTTTCATTAATCCGTGCATCGGATCCGTTTTTGACGCTTATGATTTAGCAAAGTTCGTTGCATACCGATACCGATAGATATAAGCAAAGTCCTTATGATGAAGTAAAGTTTTGTTCTTAGCAATGGCAACGCACATTGTTTCAAGCAATCATTAAGTACCCTAATGATATATCCAGCATGGGGCAATAGTTGGCTGCAACATTGTAATACAGAACCGGAACGTTATCGTCGACAAACGAAAGCAAATATTTGTGTCGGAGATATATCTATACCAGACGGTCGGACCCAAGTCCCAGTAACATACCTGGATGTTCCTTTGATGATTGCAAACATATCCTTCCTGCATGATTTCCATGGACTTCGATGAAGCTCGAGAAAACGAGCCATTCACCATTAGCACTCTCTTTACAAGAGTTAACAATCGATGAACCAGAACAGTCACCTGTCCAACAAAAAATACGATCTTTTACTTCATACGTGATCGAAGTATGAGAAAATGTTGATCGATTAGTGTCGGATTACCTGAACTGGATAAGAATTTGTTAGCATTGAGCTGCAGCAAAGCATTAGTGTGGGGATTATGCATGTCAACAATTGCTTGGACTTCCTTGCTTTTAGATATGCTGCTCTTTCTGGTGCTAAGCAATGGCAAATCGACATGATTTCGTTACGTTTATCGTCTGCAAACACATCGAAACGCTTTCAAAACAGCAATCATAACAAACCAGCTATCCTTGTCACCTCTCGATTTCGGAAGTGATGCTAAGAAATAAGCGTAGCTCTATACATCAGAAATCAAACCAAAAACGAGATCATATATCGATATAGATTTTGATTCGAAATTGGATGCATTGCAGATATCGATATATATAGAAATGACACTGCATTCACCTTCATCATATTGGAACTGCACTGGCCTGAGACAATTTTCGAAACAATGACAGCTTCAGCCTGCAAAACATGAGATAGCTGAACATGAAGGCTTTCGATTACTTGCATTACAATCAAGCTTAAAAACAATCTCCAAAAGCGAGGAACCGTAAAACCAAGCTAACCTTTTCGTAATGAGGAAGAAATGATGCCGGAAATAAGTCAATTACGATACATAGCACTGCAAGTGCTCCTTCCTGAACAACTAGGCAATCGAAGTAGCTTTCAAAATCGATGTAGTCGAGACTAATAAAACAGTAAATGACATCAGTTAGAACTTACCATTACAACCTCTGAGAATTCATTGTCTAACAGAAGGTCCAAAACTGGCTGAACGAGCTTCCCGGCATGCGCCGTTACATCCTTCTTGATTTCTGAATGTTTACCCAATCTGAAGTAGGAAACAAGAAGACACCGGTTTCAGAGTGATGAAACCTATGTTACATGGACTCTGTTGTGACTTGTGAGTGTCCGATACGTCTGTATTTATTCGAAAAACGAAAATTCGGAGCAATATACGATGAAATCACCTCTTTAACAGATCCGATAAGGAAGCAAAAGTGGCCACCTTGATAGAAATATAATCTGATGCTGGCTGCAAACATCAGCAAGAACCACAAGTGGTCATGCTAGAAAATCAATAACCATATGAAGATACAAGTAAAATATGCTGCCCATAGGAGAGCTCATGCCTGGATATTTGCGACGAGTTTACCGAACCAGACTGGATACCATGCAAGTAGCCGATTGGAGTTGCATTCTCGACAAGTCACCCCTAGTAAACATATTCCGGTCCAACGATTTCGCGACTGTGACAGAATTGAACAATGATTCCTATAAGAAACCATGTAACATATCTGCAACAAACTAGAAACTTAAAAACAACAGCACTGACCCTGGGACTAGACACAAGTGAAAGCACACAGTCGAGCCACGAATCGACAGCAACGGACCAATCCACGGCGATCTTCGAGTCGGTTTCTCGAGGGAATGATTCAGAAAGCAACCCGAGGTTCCTAATGGCATTGACAACTCGCTGCAAATCACAGTGTTGAGGTGAAGGGTTGGTTTCATTAGGAATTTGGTCATTCATCAGGTATTTTAGCATCCTCGGCTTCGATTTGACATCATAAACATCATGGTACTCCATCGAAAGAGAAGACACAAAACTGAAGTTTGAGACGTTTGATGGTTTAGAAAGTGAGAGTTGTAACTGTTGAGTCATGGTTTATTGTATCTCTTTGGCTGGTTATGTAACGCTTGTTGGAATTGGGACAAGTGTTCTGGTGAATATTAACTAAAACAAAACCAAAACCGGTTAAAAGGAGCGTTGTTCTCGCTTGACATCTTGAGTTTGAGCAGTTGCGTCTATAAAATGTACGTATATTATCTATAGAGTGTGTGTCTGTTCTTTTAACACATTTTTGGTATGTTCCTATAGTACATATTTTCTTTTCTTTTTATTAGGACTGGATTTAGCGTTTGATTCTCCAGATGACGTTTGTTAAGTTATCTTATTGATTTATCATTAGACTCTCTGTCTAGATGTTGTTAGATGCTTATAATTATCAAAAATAGATCGCAATTGAGTTATGGTAAGATTAATTTGTCGAAGAGCCATCATTGTTACGTGCATTTCTATATTTTCTTGTTGATGGTGTTTATCTTTCTTTATAGATAATAATATTTGTTTACGATAATATTTATCTTTCTTTATTTAGTTTATTCATATTTTCAAGTAATTAGTTTGTGCGCTTTAATTATTTTAGGAGATATGTTTGACTAATATGTTAAAGTATTGGAGTCTTGGTAATGTTTAGTGATTAAATTGAAAACAATTTAAAAGTATAGTGATCAATTATGTAGTTTACTACTAGTTTATCTATACCAGTAAAATAGATAGGGTAAATTATGTATTCAGTACTTAAACTATCAATTTTAATTAGATTTAGTACCAAAACTTTTATTTTTTTCAAAAACATACATAAAGTTTAGTTTTTATTTCATTTTAGTACCTGTAGTTAAAAAATTAACTTGTTTAGTACCTAAACTATCAGTTTTAGTTTGTTTTAGTACCTAAACTTTCAATTTCTTTCAAAATTAAACTTTACATTTTAAATGGGTACTAAAATGAAACAAAAAGTAAAGTTTTTTAACGGAGGGTTACTAAAATAAAATAAAAACTAAAGTTTTTTAACGGCGGGTTACTATGAAATAAAAACTAAATTGTAGGTATAGTTTTGAAAATAATAAAAGTTTAGATATTAAAACAGAAAAAACTAATAGTCTAGGTATTAAATGAGTAGTTTACCCTAAAATGAAAAGAGGAACAGAAATATGGGTAAAACACGCAAGGAAGCTCAAACAAGCAATTTCAGAGCTATTTTCTTCCCCAAATCAAACCTTTTAACTTCATAAAACCCAAAGAAATTCCGTCTGTGTTTCCTCTTATCTCAAAAACCCAACAATTCAATTCTCCGAACCAGCCCCCTTTTCCCATGCCTTTTAAGCTCGCTTGAATCCGGGTCAATATCGAACTCCGATATCAAATTCAGGGTTTCAAAGGTTAATCGGATTGGACTCGAGGTGGGTTTTCGATTTTGAAGCTTGATTTTCGGTTTTCAACAAAGAAAATTGAAAAAACAGATAGAAAATGAGTGCTCAGAAGAAGAAAGCGTTTCAAATAGAGGCGTTTAAGCATAGGGTTGTGGTGGATCCGAAATATGCAGAGAAAACGTGGAAGATCCTGGAACATGCGATTCATGAAATTTATAATCATAATGCCAGTGGACTTAGCTTTGAAGAGCTTTACAGGTTAGTAATTTGTTCTTCTTTCCTTTTTTTATAATATTTTTTATGTAATTTTGTTGAAATCACGTCCTTTGGTTGTGTAGTATGATTGTGATTTGAAGTTTAGCTGGAATTTTAGTTTAATTGTGTCGAATTTGAGCTCAGTAATCTATGTATTAGGCTATCATGAGCAAGGATTAAAATTCCGGTTGTGATTTCGATCACTCCGCGTTTATCGCTATTGCAAAGCCATTGTGGTGATTGCGGGTATGGCCGCCATACAATAACAGTCACGGAGGGCACCGCTACCACGTTCGGTGGTCGCCAACCGCTATTTAAATCCCTTGTCATGAGCTTTAACTGTATATCCTATATGCTTAATTAGTTTACTTGATCATCATGTACTTGGGACGAATGCAGTTCTGATGATTGAAGATTCCGTGTTCTTTATGCGATGAAATGGTTTAATATTATTTCGAATGTGTAACCTTGAGCTCTGCCATAGAATTGTGTCTTCAACATCTGCAAATTTTTAAGATTTTGATACTGAAGCGTTAATGTAAATCAGGAATGCGTACAATATGGTACTGCACAAATTCGGGGAGAAGCTGTACTCCGGGCTTGTCGCAACTATGACTTCTCATCTAAACGAGATAAGTAGTTCAATCGAGGCTGCTCAGGGAGGATTATTTCTGGAGGAACTTAACAGAAAATGGGCAGAGCATAACAAGGCTATGCAAATGATCCGAGATATATTGATGTACATGGATAGGACTTTCATCCCGAACACACACAAAACCCCGGTTCATGAGCTTGGGTTAAATTTATGGAGGGATGTTGTCATCCATTCCTATGCGATCCAGTCTAGGCTTCAGGCTATACTTCTTGAAAATGTAAGGAGGGAACGGAGCGGTGAAGTCATAGACAGGGGTCTAATGAGAAGTATCACGAAGATGTTAATGGATCTAGGTCCTTCTGTTTATCAAGATGATTTCGAGAAGCATTTTCTTGAAGTTTCAGCTGATTTTTACCATCTCGAGTCTCAAGAGTTCATAGAGTCCTGTGACTGCGGAGAATATCTAAAGAAAGCCGACAGACGTCTAAATGAAGAAATAGAGAGAGTCTCACATTACTTGGATGCCAGAAGTGAAGCCAAGATAACAAATGTCGTAGAAAAGGAGATGATTGAAAATCATATGCACAGGCTTGTGCAAATGGAGAACTCAGGCTTAGTTAACATGATAGTCGATGAAAAATATGAGGACCTAGGGAGGATGTATTGCTTGTTCCGTCGGGTACCCAATGGGCTTGTTTTAGTCAGAGATGTCATGACTTCATACATTCGTGATACTGGTAAGCAGCTGGTTACCGATCCCGAAAGGCTGAAGGATCCTGTGGATTTCGTGCAACATCTGTTGGATTTAAAGGATAAATATGACAAGATCATCACTTCAGCATTTAGCAATGACAAGACTTTTCAAAATGCATTAAATTCCTCATTTGAATATTTCATCAATCTGAATTCCCGGTCTCCAGAATTCATCTCATTGTTTGTAGATGACAAGCTTCGTAAAGGTTTGAGGGGGGTTACTGAGGAAGATGTGGAGGTGGTACTCGACAAGGTGATGATGCTCTTCCGTTACCTTCAAGAGAAAGATGTATTTGAGAAGTACTACAAGCAACACTTGGCCAAAAGGCTTCTTTCAGGGAAGACCGTATCTGAAGATGCTGAAAGAAGTTTGATTGTTAAGCTCAAAACAGAGTGCGGGTATCAATTTACATCAAAATTGGAGGGTATGTTCACTGACATGAAGACATCGCAGGATACGATGCAAGGTTTCCATGCAAGTCATGGTGCGAATATAGCAGAAGGTCCCACACTTTCCGTTCATGTTCTCACTACGGGATCTTGGCCGACACAGTCTATTACTACATGCAACCTTCCTGCTGAAATCCTGGGCATATGTGAGAAGTTCCGGAATTATTACCTTGGGACCCATACTGGACGAAGACTCTCTTGGCAAACGAACATGGGGACAGCTGATTTGAAGGCAACCTTTGGTAAGGGTCAGAAGCATGAACTGAATGTTTCCACGTACCAGATGTGTGTCCTTATGCTCTTCAATAATGTTGATCAACTAAGCTATAAGGAGATCGAGCAGGCGACCGAGATACCTGCCCCGGACTTGAAAAGGTGTTTGCAGTCTCTTGCCTGTGTCAAGGGAAAAAATGTGCTCCGGAAGGAACCTATGAGCAAGGACATAGCAGACACTGATAACTTTCTTTTCAATGACAATTTTACAAGCAAATTCTTCAAGGTCAAGATAGGCACTGTGGCTGCGCAAAGGGAGTCCGAACCTGAAAATCAAGAAACAAGGCAGAGAGTGGAGGAAGATCGAAAACCGCAGATTGAGGCAGCAATAGTGAGGATCATGAAAGCTAGGCGCGTGCTGGATCATAATAACATTGTTGCTGAGGTCACGAAACAGCTGCAGTCCCGGTTTCTGCCCAACCCCGTTGTAATTAAAAAACGAATCGAGTCCCTTATCGAGCGGGAGTTTCTGGAGAGAGATAAAAGTGACAGGAAATTGTATCGCTACCTTGCTTGAGAGGAAACGTCGTCTTCCCTTGTCAGGGCTTTGATGCCTTTTATTGCTTTCGAGTTCCGATATCGAACCTGCTTGGCCGGGTGTGTGTAATCTCACTTCCATTTTATTAGTTTACAGATTGTTTCATGAACTATAATCAGTTCAGGTGAATTCTTGATGTATGTATCGATTGCATTGTGCTGCTTTAATTCACCATTTGCTTATATTTTGTTTATCCTTTGAGTTGAAGAGAGAAAACATGGACCTTCTGTGTAGACAGAATGCATGAAGCTTCACTATGTATATCATCTGTTTCGGATTCGGATTCAACAGCTACTGAGTCACACATCATTATCCTTAAAACCATCAATGTCATCTTTGTCGTCGTCGTCATTATCATCATTTTCAACAACAGAGGAAAGTATAGGTATTAAAACGAATCAAAACCGATAGTTTGGATACTAAACGCATAACTTACCCAAAATTTAAAACGGACCAAAACCGATAGTTTAAATACTAAACACGTAACTTACCCAAAATTTTATAGCAAATAATTTAAAAGAAAATATTTATTACATATTTATGTAAACTAGTTATAATTTAAAATCTTTTTAAAGAATAACTTTATTCGTTTTATATATTATTTAATTGTTATACGTGATTATATGTATTAACTAGATAATTATTGTGTATTTAAGTATTAAATTGTTATACAATGATTATTTATATAAATATTTCATATCAAATTAGTTTAATAAATGATTATTTTACTTATAATAAATGTTTAATATGTTATTATTTATGTGTACAATAGAAAGGGAAAAGTACACAAATGGTCCATCGACTTTAGCATGTTATTTTATTGAGTCCCTCAACTATTAAAAGTTATAAAATAATCCTTCAATTATAGGATGTTGCTTTGTTAAGTCCCTCGACTATTAAAAATTATAAAATAGTCACCCTACTATTCATATGTTCCAAATTAATCCTTTTTCGTTAAAAAAATTGATGACAGTCTGAGTTAGACGTTAACTCGTTGATTGAAATATGATAGTTGTTTGACATTGTGATCAAATTTTATCATTTTATGATCAACAGGTTAATGTCAAGCTTAGATTGTCGTCATTTTTTAATATAAAAGACAAATTTAAACTATATGAATAGTCATGTGATCATTTCGTAAAATTTAAGGATACTCTCAAGTTGAACTCGAGCAATTACATTTATAGGTATGTGTTATTGTTAATATTTAAGAAAGATTCTGAATAAATATTATCTTGTAATCATTGCAGAATATATATATATATATATTCTTAAACTTGTTTTTGTTAAATAAAAGATACTAAATTTGTAGCCATACAACAACAAAAAAATGATAGTGTAATGGACTTTAATTTAACAAAAGTAGAGGGACTAAATTTCTAAAAATTAAAGTAGAATGACTAAATTCCAAATGCACAAGTATATAATCCTCCTCCCAAAAAAACATGGAAAATTGACAAATTGTAATAGTTTAAAGATTCAGCATGGGAATTTTGTACATCTTAATAATCCTAAAATATTAGTGTAAACTACAAAGTTAGTATATACACTATTACTTTTGTTCCGTTTTGACAAGCAAACTTTATTTTTTTTTCAAAATCATACCTAACATTTCAGTTCAGTTTTATTTTGTAGCCCACCGTTAAAAACTTAAAGGTGATCTTAACGTATAACCATAAAATAATACCACATCATCATTGAAAATAAAAATGAAAAATGTCACATCAGTAATTCTTTAATTTTTTAATGATTTGTACCAAATTGAAACCTTATGATTTTAGAAAAAATAAAGTTTGAGCACCAAATAGAACAAAAGTAATAGTTTAAGTACTAAACATGTAGTTTACTCATAATATTAAATTGGAGACCTGCTCATGAACTTACTTCTTCCAAAATCACTGCAACTTCCATGATCTCACTGCCCCTTTGAATCTTTAAGGTTACCTTATCCCCCACATTGTATTCATCCAATGTTTCGCTCAACTCTCCTTTGTTTTTAACCTGAATAAGAATGTCGTACTATTACCAGCATAGAATCGTCGATCGTTATGCGGATTATTCGAAAGCATGTAGCCATCGAGAACGATGAAGTCGATATCAATATTGACAAGGAAGAACAGATACTCACCGGTTTGTTGTCAACTGCAAGAATGATACCCCCGAGTACAAGATTTCCGGCTAAGCCCCTGGTGGTAGGGAGTAGTCCGGCCTTGGCGGCAAAACTGTTGCCGGGAACCTAAAGACCCGTGTTCTAGATGTAAGAAAGTTCAGAGCTTTATCGACAGCAAGGTTGTACTTTAAAAGTTCGATCTAAATTTGGGATACCTGGAGGATAACATTAAGTTCATTAGCAATCAGGTCGGGAGCGATTTTGATATTCTGCTCGAACAGCCTGAAAGTGTATTAACAATGAGATAGGAAGCACTAAAGCTTGTTCACATGCTCAACTCTTGATAATGACACCCATCATCGTTTTAGACCCGAATTTTTCAGACGTGTGCATTGAATGATCGTTAAACGCAGAGAAGGTGAAAGCAAACGGTCTTTATCGGCGAGATGTGAAATGGGGGAGACCAAGAATTTGACCAGTAAAGAAACTTACTTTGCCGAATTTGATCAGCTTAGGTACAATCTTGAGCACAGTGGAGGACGGGATGGCGAATCCTACACCTGCCAATGTGCCTGAAATGCAAATACCAAAATCGGAATGCATTATGTTAACTGGACCAGGTGTGAGTTTCAGATACAGGTCTGGCATGGTTATTGTTAATTTTTTTTCTATATTTTTCCCGGCAATCTCAAACTGATGCTGCAAGTCTACAAAAGCATATGGAACAGTATGCGTTTCTATGGTTTGAAAACTATCCACTTTAAGTTGTAAATGACCTTTTATCGTGTTGGTTGCAGGATAGTAGGATACAGAAAGATCTTGTAGACACTGAAAAGCTTCAAACAAATTTGGCCGATGAGACTCTGACCGAGGCCTGTGACCTGAAAAGGGCCCTTGAAACGGTGACTTTACTGGAGACGCAACTGAAGGAGATGAATCCCAACCTTGATTCAATCTCAGAGTAGGGATTTTTGTTTCGTTTATCTTAATATTTCCAAAGAGTGATCTATTTTCCTCAATGGATGTGCACTAGAGAACTTGATATTATAGATATCGGCAAAAGGCATCGCTGTATAACGAGCGAGTTGAGGGGATGCAGAACTTGAACTAGTGGACTCTTGGATCCCTTCTCCGAAGGTGTTGTTTTCAGTGTTAGACCCCCAAAGAAGAGCTGGAAGAACATCGCAAACTTATCCGGTGATGAAAAGGTTGCATCTCTGTCTTGACCTCTTGTTTATGAATGATCAACATGCACGTCACGACCTGACTTATCGATCTGTCTGTCATACTCGATAATTACAATTTTGGTTTACGTTCGTGATTCAGCTTGATGTGTCTGGTCGTGACAATGCATACCGATGCATCGTTTTACATCCCTTTACTCAAGAATGTTTCCATTGTCGGAAATTACGTCAAGGATCGGACAAAGGATGCACAGTTTATAATCGTAAGGTAAATTCCATTCCTTCCGATAAATTTCGAGTATCTACAACTCGTATTCATTTACTAGATTCGTTTTCGTATCATGTGACGAAATGCAGCCTGAGGAATAACATGTTCGAGTTGGCCGATCGACTTGTCGGAATCTACAAAACCGAAAACTGCACTAAGAGCATCACCATCGATCCCAACAGTTTTGTGGTGCGCCAGAAAGCTGCATGATTCAACGAGTTTGATTCCTTTCCCTAATCTGTTTGTTCCATAATATTAACCCAAACTACATCCATCTATATCTATATCTATGTCTATGTCTATGTCTATATCTATATCTATATCTATATCTATATCTATGTCTATATCTATATCTATGTCTATATCTATATCTATATCTATGTCTATATCTATATCTATATCTATGTCTATATCTATATCTATATCTATATCTATATATATCGTGTATGAACTATGAACTTGATATAAGTGTTGTAGAATTTTATCTTTTATATGGAGAATATTATTTTAATATGGGTATATTATGTATTAAGCACTTCAACTAATAGTATTGGTCTGTTTTAATAATAAACTTTCAATTTTTCTAAAATTATACCTAAACTTTAGTTTTTGTTTCATTTTAGTATGTTGATTTTAAAATTTTAGCTTTTGTTTCATTTTAGTACTCATGTTCAAAATTTAATATTAAGTTTTGAAAAGATTGAAAGTTTAGGTACTAAACGGACAAAAACTGATAGTTTAGGTACTAAACGTATTAAGTTCTTAACGGTAGGGTATTAAAATGAAATAAAAACTAAAAGTTAGGTATGATCTTGAAAAAAATTGAAAGTTTAAGTATTAAAACGGATCAAAACTGATAGTTTAGATATTAAATGTGTAGTTTATCCTTTTAATACACTATATAATGATTTTTTAAAGTTCATTTATTAATTATATATAGCAATGATTGATTATAAATAGGTTTATTTATTAATTATAAAATTTATTTTATTTGGTTAAAGGATAATAATGTCATTTTAGACTTATTCCCTCCCCATTCATTAACGCTGTTTTACCTAACCAAGCGGCAAGCACTGAATTACTCATTCTTTATATTTTATTTCTATTGAATCTTACTTAATGTTATATTTTTGTTTCATTTCGATCATTCATCGTTAAAAATTTCACAGTAATATTGACATTATCATAAGATAATATTATATCATCATTGAATAAATTAAAAAAAATATCACGTCGGTAATTCTGTTACTTTTTAATGCCGGGTGATCAAAAAAATTAAAGTGTAATAATAGGTATGATTTTAAAATAAAAAATAGTAAGATGATTAAAATAAAATAAAACCGATAGTTAAAGTACTTATTTTAAAACATTTAAAATCAAAATTTTCTATTAATAAATATTTAATAAATAAATAATGTCAACAGAGTTAATTATAACTAAAATTGACACTAGTGTTCCTGTCCCGTCTTCTTCTTCGTCCGTGTTTGAAATTATGGTGAAAAGTGACCCCATTGCTTTTGTCCTAAACCATTGCTACTTTTTCATCCTTTTTTCCTATATGTATCGGGTAAGGAGATGTAAGATAGTAGGTTACCCTAACATCAGGTTGAGAGCAGTTTCCTTAAGAGACCTAAATTATAAAATGCCTTCCGTGAGACTTGATCTCACGACTTCAAGGTTAACAACCTCATAGCTACCTTTTAACCCGTTTGTTTTTTATTTATTGTTCGATTAATTCAAATCGAATATTATAAAAGTAAAAGTGATTCTCCTAATTCAATTCGCCATTCATAAACGTCAAAGTTTTAACCTCTGACGTTGTTTAAAGAATCAATATCTTAGCCCATTTGACCAATCGATTATTGATCAAATATCAATTATATTGATATCATTATTATTATAATATTTAATAAATTATTAATTTTTTAATACTTTAAACAATTATAAAATAATATATATTCCGATTTTTTTTAATTATTGACAACTCTTACATACACTCATAGATATACATGTTCGAACCCATAACTTTTAAAGAGAATAATCATAAATATAAATGTAACATTTCGGTTTATTAAAAATAAAATTATTATAAATTTAAATTAAAAATATTTTTAAAATTTGCACCACCAAACCCTAAAATAAAAAATGATATTACGTTTATACTTGGATCGATACCTTATGTAAACTATAAATATTAAAAAGATTATTATTTGATATATAGAAAAGGTGTAAATTAAAATTTATTTAATCCTATTTATTTTAATCTAAAATTTTAAAATCTTAATATTTTGTGTAAACTAAAATTTCATAAATATATATTGAGTTGAACCGGTTCAGCTGAATTATTGAAGCTAAAATTACAACCATACCCAAATTCTGTTCCCAGGTTCTCAGCAAATTTAAACCTCAGAAAAATAGAGAAAAAGGCAATCATCAATGATTTCCCACTTTTTGGGACCCACTTTAAGAACAGATTATTATGTTCATTTCCCATAGTCCCCCAACAATTTTATTGACAATTTTACCCAAAAAAATACCTAACAATTAAATATTACCTGTAACAGATATTTTTCTAAAGTATTATTGATCTAAGACCTTCTTTGACATAGGGATAATAAAACATGGATCATTCGACGTACCTTATCGAGTTATGTTTGAGTTGGTGTCACAGTAGAAAGGCGTGAATCATAATCCGCACTTTCACGTGGTTATGTCCGAGTTGGTACCACGGTGAAAAAGACGTGAATCATGAGGCACGCCTTCGTCGAAAAATCTGACACGTATAGAAACCATTATTCACCTTGAATTATTGGGTACTTCATTATTACCTAAGCCTTAAATATTGGCTATTCACTCATCCTCTCTCCTATAAATATTCCCGAATGCAAACATCAAACCATAACAAAATTACTTTCACATTACTCTTTCTATAAATTCATTCTATCAAGTTAAGTAGATTTTATTACAGTTTTTAGAAGGTAAAATTATTTTTTTATTTAATTATTTGACTAAGTTTTATTATACTAATTATTTTGTATTTTTTTACGGTTGTAAAAAGAAATACAATATCATATCTCGAGATATTTTGTCGATACGGTAACAATATTAAATTGTGTTATTTAAATTATTGTGTGTGTTTTTCAATTTTTTTAGCATTAGTTTATATTTTAATTCTTATATTATTTATTAATTAGACATATTTCAACTATTGTTTTTACATATAGAAGACTCTCAATCTTTCAAACTCTCAACTCTCAAAATGAAGTGTATTTTAGCTATTGTTTACTATAATGGAGAAATTCAGGGAGATGAGGTGTTGTATTCGCATCAAATCATTCTGTCAGAATATCATTCAAGAGAAAATCACTCTTGAGGAGCTGATCACTAAAATTCCAAGGAAGATTCATGTTGGAAGTATTAGAAGATTGTCCTCATTACAGTACAGATTTCCAACCTTATTATTTCCGTTAACTGATACAGCATTCGAAATCTCTAACGATGATGATAGTTGATTCTTAGAATTAAAATTCAGATGTTGATACACAAATGTATGCCACATCTATTGAAGTGTTTGTGGTTTGTGGTATGTCATTATGCTCTCACTATGGGCTGGCTCAACAAGCTGATCAAATTGTCAGCCCAACTCAAGTAAAATGTAATAATTTTAGCTCGTTAATAGGAAATACACATCCTGATACCATCCCATCAAGTTTAATGGGGATACATTCATCAACAACTTGTTACAATCTTTACCGAGGTGGCTCTAAGAACAAT